GGAACTCAATTCTTTTATTTAAAAATTGTATTTAAATTTTTAAACTTCACTTTTACTAAAAAAATTTTTTCTTCAAAAATTCTTTTGTGGAGGTGCGTGTTCAATCAGTCTCAGGAGTGACGATTTATGATGATGATGATATTATCTATACGTTATATAACAAATTGAGCTTTAATTTATTGTAAAAAGAAAAACATAAATTAGCATCCCTAACTGTGTCTAAATGGAACAAATACTATTTAAAGATAAACATTCATCAATCTACTTCCATGAAACCGCAAATATAAATCAATTATGGCCTTTACTTTAAATTATCCCGGCGCCTTCACCAAATTTTCAAAAACATCTTTTTAATAATTATTAAAAAGTCAGATAATAAAGTTTTAAATCAAAGACTCGTCTCTCCCTTAAGTATCCAAGAAAAATAAAAACAACTGTGCTGTAAGAGACCAAAAAATAAGCAATAAAATCTCAAAAAGTCTTGCCTCTGTCTTAATTAATGACCATATTCTCATATGAAACTGGCGAAGTCTCGTTTTTAATTAAACGCTTTCAATCAAAAATATAGCTTCATACGATAATCCAAAAATAATTTGACTAAATAAATATATCTTCCTTCTTTTTTCTTAACATTTGTTTTAATAACAAAAACTTTAAAACAAAGTACCTGCGTCAAATCTTATAACTCGATGTCTAAATCGTTATTATATAAATATACGCTTTCAATCAAAAATATAGCTTCATACGATAATCCAAAAATAATTTGACTAAATAAATATATCTTCTTCTTTTTTCTTAACATTTGTTTTAATAACAAAAACTTTAAAACAAAGTACCTACGTCAAATCTTATAACTCGATGCCTAAATCGTTATTATATAAATATTCTCAAGATCAATGATATGAAACAAAATTAAGTCTAATCAGTCAATTAATTATTTTGATCATATGATTAGACGATTGGCAATAACATTTTCCAAATTTTGACATTGCGAAATAATATAAGAGAGTGACATTTCAAACTTAAGAATATATTTTTTAATAATTTTAATTTATCTTTAATATCTGCTTATGGCTTTGGTTCGAAAGATTGTTTTCACTCCCGACGCCCCTACACCCGTCGGTCCTTACAGGCAAGTGTGCAAAATAATAAACCGTTCGAAAATTATTTGAAAAAAAAAAACGCAAATATTTTTGGCTGAATAATTCTATCAATGAAACAATAAATTTCAGTCAAGCCGTGATAGCAGATCAAACTCTGTACATTTCCGGCATTATAGGACTTGACCCGAAATCGGGGTCACTTGTGGAAGGGGGCACCGTAGAGCAATTCAGACAATGTATGAGACACCTTGAAGAAATTTTGTATTCGTGCGAATCGGCGTTCGAGAACGTATCGAAAACTACGATTTTTCTAACCGACATGGAAGAATTTTCTCAAATCAATGACGTGTACAAGGAATGTAAGTCAACCCCCAAAGTATTTTTTATTATTGTTTTGAGACAGTCTGTGTAGTTTTAATTTATTTTTTGGTTTGAGATTTTTGCAGAGATTTTCCAGCTCGCTCAACTATTCAAGTTGTGCAACTACCATTAAACGCTAACGTTGAAATAGAAGCAATTGCACTTATTGGCTGTGTTAAAACAATCCCTGCACCTCCTCCACCTCCAAAATGTTCATCCAGATAAGTATATGGCCAAAATAATTCCTATAACTTTTCGTTAAAGTGTTATATTTTATTTTTAATATATTTTTACACTGAAGTGGTTAATTTTGATTGTATAGAATGGAAAAGAAGCGTGTTCAGAAGTTGCGTCAGTTTGAAAACACTTTCCACCCGCGTTTTCCCTCATGTGTTCAGAGGTTTCACGCTTGGTGGCGCTACTTGCGCTAGAATCGCGCGGCGTCAAATTAGTTGCCTATATTAATCTAATCNAGCCAACTAAATAACTAAAAGAATAGTCTAGAAAAGGCTGCGATAATTTAAAAACTGGACTCCAAACAGCATTCAAGAGTACTCAACCTTTCATAAATAAAAGAGTACCTAGAACGGAGGATAATAAAAGAAAGAAAGAAAATTATATATAAAAGAGTGCCATTAATAAATTTTAATTAGGTAAATAGTAAAATTATTTGTAATTACAATACGTCAGTCTGTCAATGATAATCTTCGCTTTCGAAATAAAAATTTAATAAAGCATCAAATGTTTTCCTCTGAAAGAAATTGCTATGAGAAAACGTTTGCGCCAAAAGTAAGTTCCTCTTTGTTTGCCCTCTAAATCGGGGATAAAAACACTTAGACAACAAAGATAACAAAAAAAGATAACTGACCTGATAAATAAATATGCAGGCAGTACCTATTATTTTTATCAGTCATTTTCAAATTTTCATTCGATCTAATGAGAACATTCGACGATTAATAATGATCTCATTTTTGGTAAGAATTGGTTCTTTTATATTGTTTTTATTTAGTTTTAATATCTTACTAGTCCATGTTAATTAATTTTATTGTTCAGTTTTACAGAACTTATTTAAAATTAAAAAATATATTTATTATAGACGCACAATATAACTGAATACTTCAACGTTTACATTAACATAATTATACAATAATTTTAATTAGTTTAGTTACAATTGTTTTATACGCACTTTTATTCGTGCCAAAATTTTAAAAATTTTATAGTTTGTTTTGTTGTGTGATGTTGTCAAATGTCTTCGAGTTGGTACTATTATACGTCATGATTTAACAAGAGTGGGGATCTTGCGGTACGAGTGTTCAGTAGTTGTTACGAATACCGGCAAGTTTTATTAAATATTTTCTTTAAATGAATGGTGATTTTGACAATTAACTACGACGAGAAATTCCTTAATAGTGTTTTCACGTGTCCGATGTCTAGTGCTGAGGTCACGGACAGCTCCGTCGATCCCCCAACCAAAAAGCGGAAGCTAGACTCACTTCACCACAACGACATGGCGAACAATGGACCCTCGAGTTCAACTCAAGACATCGATGAAGGACTTTATTCACGACAGTTATATGTTCTTGGTCACGATGCCATGCGTCGCATGGCATCCAGCGACGTCCTAATTTCCGGCATGGGAGGTTTAGGTGTCGAAATAGCGAAAAATGTTATCCTCGGCGGTGTTAAATCTGTCACTTTGCATGACGAGGCTCTTTGTAAAGTAAGTGATTTATCGTCTCAATTTTACTTGGGAGAAAATGATGTCGGTAAAAACCGTGCCGAAGCTTGCTTCAAAAAGCTTTCTGAACTTAACATGTATGTCCCCACCAAGTCCTACGTGGGCCCCCTCTCAGAGGAGGTTCTCAAAAAATTCAGTGTTGTCGTTTTGACCAACAGTTCCCTGTCTGAACAATTACGTATTAGTGAAATTACCCATGCTAACAACATTGCATTAATAGTAGCCGACACTCGTGGCCTTTTTGCACAAGTGTTTTGTGACTTCGGTAAGTCTTTCACTGTAGTAGACGTCAACGGAGAGCCCCCCGTTTCGGCCATGATTGCCGACATATCCAAGGATTCTGAAGGAAATACCATTGTCACTTGCATAGATGACACACGCCATGGTCTAGAGGACGGCGACTACGTTACATTTTTAGAGCTGCAGGGAGCATCTGAATTGAACAATTGCAACCCCATAAAGATAAAGGTGCTGGGTCCCTATACCTTCAGTATTGGTGAAGTGACATTCTCTAAATATGAACGTGGAGGGGTCGTAGAACAAGTCAAAATGCCCAAAAACATTGAATTCAAACCTTTGAAAGAGTCCATTAAGGCTCCCGAGTTTCTCATTACTGATTTCGCTAAATTTGATCATCCAGGACAGCTACATTTGGCTTTTCAGGTAAGTAAAGCATTATTATATTGTACCTAACTACTCAGAAATAAAAACAAGTATTTAGATATTACTTTATACAAACTTTTTCTGGAGTATTTGAAAGTAAAAATAAACAATAAGTTTAATTTGTAAACTACACCTTAGTGGCTTTAAAATAGATATGATTCATCAATTATGTATATAAAATCAATAATACTAATAATAGTAATGTATGATACAATTATGTAAGGGTGACTAAGTGGTTTTCAATCAATTGACTACAAATACCACAAAACATTTTATTGATTGAAAGGCATTTTACTTACCTATTATTCTGTATATGTTTAATGCAATTTCTTTTGAAGGCTCTTCATAAATTCGTTAATACTCATGGTAAAGTTCCAAAACCCTGGAGCACTGCGGACGCAAAGGAATTTGTAACGATCGCCAAAGCTTTAAACCTAGACGGAGGCAGCGACAATGAGATCAACACAGAGCTTTTGGAGAAGTTCTCCAAGACTGCGTCAGGCAACTTGGGCCCTATAAACGCCACTATAGGTGGTATTGTTGCCCAAGAAGTTATGAAAGCTTGCACAGGCAAATTCCACCCTATTTATCAGTGGTTATACTTTGATGCTATTGAATGCTTACCCACTGATTTGGGAGAGATTAACGAAGAGCTCACAACGCCAACGGGCAGTCGCTATGATGGGCAAGTAGCAGTCTTTGGGAAAGAGTTTCAAAAGAAAATTGGTAAATTTGTTTTTATTGAAAGTGATTCTTTTTTTAATATTTATCTCTTTAGAGTCTTTAAAGTATTTCGTTGTGGGCGCTGGCGCTATAGGATGCGAACTCCTGAAGAATTTTGCAATGATGGGATTGGGATCTAATGGAGGTCAGGTCACCATCACGGACATGGATTTGATAGAAAAGTCAAATTTGAACAGGCAGTTTCTTTTCCGTCCTCATGATGTACAACATTCTAAATCTATAACAGCTGCTAAGGCAAGATACCTTTTGGTTTTTCGACTGTTTAGCAAATTTTTTATGTTATTGTTTTTTTTTCTCTTGTCTAGGTAATTAAAAAGATGAACCCTCAAATGAACGTGGTGGCACATGAAAACCGTGTCGGTCCTGATACCGAAAACGTTTACGACGACGACTTCTTCGAGGCGTTGGATGGCGTGGCCAACGCTCTAGATAACGTAGACGCTCGTATTTATATGGATCGTCGTTGTGTCTACTATCGCAAACCTTTACTAGAGTCTGGCACTCTGGGGACTAAGGGCAACACCCAGGTCATTGTCCCATACCTTACAGAATCCTACAGCTCGTCGCAAGACCCTCCAGAAAAGAGCATTCCGATTTGTACACTTAAAAATTTCCCAAATGCTATTGAGCATACACTCCAGTGGGCTCGAGACATGTTTGAAGGACTATTCAAGCAAAGTGCTGAAAACGCCTGTCAATACCTAACAGACCCAGATTTCATCGATAGGACCCTCAAACTACCCGGCGTACAGCCCATAGAAGTCTTGGAATCAGTTAAATTCTCTCTGGTAGATGATCGCCCCCATTCTTTTGAAGAATGCATCGCTTGGGCAAGAATTCATTTCGAAGAACAGTTTTCAAATCAAATTAAGCAGTTATTGTACAATTTTCCACCGGATCAGTTAACTTCAACGGGACAGCCGTTTTGGTCTGGACCAAAGAGATGTCCTGTACCAATCCAATTCAACCCCGAGGATCCCCTACACATCAGCTACATCATGGCAGCTGCCAATTTAAAGGCTGAAGTATACGGAATGCCTCACATCACTGACTTGAATTACATTGCTGATATTGTAAAGACTGTAGAGGTAAATTGTTTTGAAATTTTTGGCACTTCTTGTAACATACACACAACTTCTGCGTGCTTTGTGAAGTTAACAGTAATTTTTTTAAGTTCTGAGTTGGTATATTGAGATTTCGTAATTTTGTATTAACATCAGTACAATCGCAAGTAATATTAAATTAGAAACTTGCTCTTCAAATTACTTTTTAATTGATTATAACAGTTTTTCGTTGCCTTGTTTTTAATTAACAACATTTTAAGTAAATACGTATTCTGAGGCATTTACTACATTTTACAGCAACAATTATTTTAATGTGGTTTTAAGGAATTCTGGCTAACTAATTTTTTTTTAAGGTTCCCGAATTCGTGCCCAAATCCGGTGTGAAAATCGCTGTGACTGACTCCCAAATGGCCGTTGCTAATGGTTCGAATGTGGACATGGACCGCGTCAGTCAGCTCCAAGAACAGCTCCCGAAGCCCGGGGAGCTTGGAGGACTCACCTTACATCCAATTGAATTCGAAAAAGACGACGATACAAACTTGCACATGGATTACATCGTGGCAGCTTCAAATCTCCGTGCAGCCAATTACAAAATAGCCCCAGCAGACCGTCACAAATCCAAATTAATAGCGGGCAAAATCATACCCGCAATAGCGACCACAACATCCGTGGTTGCAGGCCTCGTTTGTCTTGAACTGTACAAATTGGCGAGGAGCATGGAGAGCTTAGCCCCATTCAAAAACGGTTTCGTCAATCTCGCACTGCCCTTCTTTGGCTTCTCCGAACCAATCGCCGCCCCCAAAATGGAATACTGCGGTAAAGAGTGGACCCTGTGGGACCGTTTCGAAGTCCAAGGGGAAATGACTCTGGCCGAATTCCTGAACTATTTTAAAGAGAAACACGGTCTCGAGATTACGATGTTGTCGCAAGGCGTTTGTATGTTATATTCGTTCTTTATGGCCAAAGCAAAGGCCCACGAACGTCTCAACCTTCCCATGTCTGAGGTGGTAAAAAGGGTATCGAAAAAGAAGATCGAGCCCCACGTGAAGGCTCTCGTGTTCGAGTTGTGTTGCAACGACGAGGATGGTAACGATGTCGAAGTGCCCTACGTAAAATATGTATTGCCCCGATAATGTGACGGGCCCCCGGGGAGAGAAAAATCGGGTAGGGGAAGAATCTATTGCGGATGGGACATCGCATTCGCGTGATGATAATGAATTTTTGAGACTGTTTTCAAAGGGGGGGGGGGGAATAAAATAATTACATGATTGATGATTACTATTGATTGAGAAGAAAAGTTCGCGAGAAGGTTTTCTTCTACTTGGTTTAGATTTTAAGTTAAATTATACGATAATTAATTTTCTTTATTTTCGGTAATTAATACTACTCATCAAAAAAAAATTATATATGCTATAATTATTTACTTACACTGCTGATTGATGCTGATATGCTTTTGTTGAAATATGCGTAGATGCCGTTATTTTGTAATAATAAATAATGTGTGAAAAATTTAATAAATAACCTTTGAAAACGTTTCTGGCTTTTATTTAATAACTTACTCATCATCGAACTAAATTATTTTTGATTAAGTACAGCAACCAATTTTCAGCAATTTTGCAGCAAAAACATTTCAATATTTATTATTTAAGAATATCAATAATTTAAACATTAGGATTATAACACTTCACTATTTGATGTTAAATGGTAGTCAAAGTTCAGAATATAATAAAACTTAAAAAAAGAGTTATTAAAAAATTTTGTTACAT